TTATAAAATATAAGTTTATAAAAAGTAATAATTATTTTCAAATAATAACCAAGTATATCCACATAGTTCTATTAATATACAAAAACAAGTGTTCGTCACTATATATTCAACATGGACCCTGTGTTAATTAAGGCACTCAGCACACAGTTTCCTTGAGCATTAACAATTGTGAGGGGCCAGGCATACAAAATTGATGGGATTTTGTATATGATAAGGGCAATTCATTTTCTTTTAATAAATTATTGAATTCTATTACTTTACATTAGGTTATAAACTAAAAATCAAAAAACTGCATCTTTATTTATTTTATTTTTTTTCAAGAATAAGACTTGTTGTGTTAAGATTTGGAGTTGAGAGGAATTGAACTATAATCGACTATTGAGATTGAATATCAACATTTATAAAGCCTGGTTCATATATAATATAGGATAATTAATTCTTTTGATTTCTTTATTTTTATTATTCTCTTTTAATCTAACGATACCCTGCTATTCCATTTAAAAAAATATTTCTTATTTTTCTCGAAAATCTAAATTTACAAGTTTTCCGTCTATGTATGAATATTTATTTATAAACAATTATTTCAATATTTTTCTTGAAATCCATTTTCAGAATAATTTTTTGTATCATTATCATTAAATATCATCTTTAATTAATTTTCTAATAATGCATGGTGTTTTTATAGATTTTTTTCAATGATACAGCATGATTTCTTCGTAAGTTTAAATTGATTATTAAATTCCAATAAATTTTTTTTAATTTCGATTAAGATCTGATTTTTAAGACTTTATATTTGAACTGTGTTATTTGTTGCTTTTTATTTAAAAGATCACTCTATATAAAAGTAATCGTTTCAAATATTATGAATTACAGAATATAATAAATTGTTTACCTAAACTTAAGAAAATAAGATAGTATAAAAACAAAAATCAATAAGTTTATAGAAAGATATCTTTGAGAAATTAGTAATTACATTTAATGTAAAAACAGGAAAACTAATTTAGTCCTCAAATAAAGGTTATCAAGAAATATTTTGTAAATTAACAATCTAAATTTGGAAGGAAACAAATTGAGCACTTATGGGCTTAGATGAAAGTAAAATCAAAATCAAGGAACCAAAAACACTAATACGGCTGTTTATATCCCTTTGTCCATATCTGTTTTCTATGAATTTTTATTCGAAAATTATACATGATTTCCTTTTTCTTTTTAATTTCCCAATCAATTTAAATTTTCATATGAACAAATTTGTAATAAATTTAGCAACTACTTGAATATTATTAGATCTCATAAAATTTTTTATGCAATATTATCCAATTTCCAATTTTTCATACATTTTAATATCCTACTTTAAAAATTTTTGATGTATTTCAATCTATTAACCATCTTTTACACCTAGTACATTATAATTGTTCTCTATCGACCAATTTTGTTTAAATTAATTTGAAAATTTAAATAACAATTAAGATTCCTTAAAATTGAATTTTATATGCTTTTTGGAACATAAATGGAAAAACCTTTAATAATACCACCACAACTAATTATAATATAGTAAATTTAAATCATATCCTCTTTATATTATTCTTAAGTCTTTTAGATAATATTCCATTTTACTTATTTTATATTTTGCAATAACTTCCAACCCAAAATAAATAACAATCTGTTTTTCATAGAATAATATTCTACTTATTACAATTTTCAAATTACTCCATCTACTTTCCATTCTTAATTCTTTTTTGATCATATATTTTTTGTGGTCTAAAAAATAGAAATTATTTAGACTTTAAATATTATTAATTTATTATCAGCGCAAATCCTTATTTTTTTTCCATTTTTAATTTCCCATATTATTCCAACCTTAAAACTCACTATATTTAAAATGATTGTACTTTATTAATTTAGTTTTACTCTGAATAAATTTCTTTCTACTTTTTACAAATATCAGTTTTATTTCTTTTAATATCATAAATACCTCTAATAATTAATTTTTGGTTTTGAGTCTACAACATGAGGAAGAAACAATACCCCTCTTAGTGAAGAGAAAAGGAAGTTTTTTTCTGTTGGAGTTTTGAAAAAAAAATATTTCATATGAAATCATACAGATAAAGTCTTTTAGCTATTTTGTTTAATTTGCTTTAAATCTTTTCTCATGAATTTAGATTAAATAAGAGCGTGAAAAGAATGATAAACGAATAGATGTTATTTATAATTATTTCTCTTTTATCTGGTCATATAAAAATGATATTTAAATCCCCTTTAAAAATATCAAATGGGTCTTTAGTTATAAATTTTAAGGTCTGTTCAATTTATTAAAACAGTAAATTGTAAACTCTCACTGGATCATGTTAAAGTATTAATAAATGAAATACAATTTGTATCACTTTATTATAACATAATATATTTATGATATCAGAATTTAATTTATATGATTTATTTTTTTGATTATTGAGACTGTTTGATTGATAGAGGATTCCTACTTCAATTGATCATCACCTTCTTGTATGTGGAGGATAAAATTATAATTATATCAACTTCCATAATTCAAAATAACAAAAGTTCGAATGCAATTTTCCAAAAGCCTATCTACAATCCCTCCTCCCTATGATTTTTATCATAAACTTTTATAAAATTTATTTCTCAACAATTACTATAATGAAATTTTATTTGATATTAATTAATACTAGAAGGGGACAATGTCTTATAATACCTCATTATCGTTATCTAGATATTAATATTGATATCCTAACTTTACAAAGTATTAAAACAGTAGCAGGAGTATTCGGGTGTAGTATCCTCTTTTACCAGAGGATAATAAAATAAAATAAAAAGTAATTAAGCCGAAATTAGGTAAGGTTTTTATATTCTGAGTTAAAATAATATTCCAATCATTCTTTAGGAAATTATAAAATTCATTGATTGACAAAACTACGAATAAAAATGATTTTTTAAATATGCATCATAATAAACTAAAACAATAAAACCAAGAGTGGAATCATTAAAATAAAAAATAAACATTAATTTTAATCATATATTTGTAATATTCTCGTAATTAACTCCTTTCAATTTAGCTATCCTAAAAATCAACTTTCTTTAGAATTGAAAAATTATCTTAAATCTGCTCCTTAATGAAAGCCTCGCTATGACCTTCTAAATTATTTAATACATGTATTTTCAAGTTTTTCCGTTTTCAATGATATCATAATGATCCATTCAAATTGATTTCTCTTAATATCAATGAATATATTTTTAAACAATTATAAGGAATGCTGAAAATTTGATAGGTCTAATGATGAAAGGATTAAATTTTTTTTAAGAAGATACCTTATCTTATTAAGAATCTTCTATTTCTATGATTAAAAATTTTCTCAATTTCTAATTGGCTTGTCACTCATTGTAAGTTTAATTTAGTCTATTTTACCAATTTTTAGGAAATTATTAAAATAAATTTTACAATTAAAGAAATAAGCAAAATGCATAAAATCCTCATGCTTTGCTATTAACTGAATAAGTTCTTTTTTCTATATCTTTATATTGTTCAACTCATTATGTTATCGTTCATTTAAAAACATCAATAAAATTAAAGTGAATATTTCCTAAATAATTACTCTAAATCTTTCGACATTGATAAGTCTCGAAGGCACTAATGATGAATCAAAATAATTAAAGGTCAAAAGACTTTACATGAATCATCTAAGATGAAAAGCTCTGGTAATATTATAATTCTAAGATTAAGAATTAGTTATTAATTCAGTTTTTATTACAAGTATGATAAATTTCTCATAATTTTGAACCATAAACTAATTTCTGACCTCCCTTTTATCATTTTGAAGTATAATTTACCTTATATTTCTCTTTCCTATTAAAAAATGAAGAAAAATCTGAAATATCAATCTGAAATTCAAACAATTATCAATCTATAATATCAGCTAATAATTTTACAAGATATCCAAACCTACTTAATTAAAATTAAAGATCAAATTATGAATAAGACTACCAGGTAATAATTTTTTATCATATTTTGTTTTCAATAAAAAACAAAAAAGAATGATTAAATGAAATGATATATCTTATTCTAATGAAGCAATGATCTAAGATGTAATCAATGAGTTTTACAAATTTAGATGCATAAGAAATAATTTTATGATATTAATAATCTCATTTATTTCTTTAAATATTTAATAAGCAAAGTTGATAATTTGTTAAATATAATCATCTTGGGTTCAAATTATTCGAAGAATACTTACTTATATTATTATTTATTTTTATTATTTTTCATGATTAATTGATAATTAAAACATAATATTTTAGCTATAAGTTTAAATTAAATTATATATTCAAATAATATAAATAAAATTATTTCTTTTATAAATATTTCTTATCATATATGAGAGAAATTATATCAATTCATATTGGTTAAGCTGGAATACAAGTTGGTAATGCTTGTTGGTAATTATTTTGTATGGAAAAAGATATATAACCAAATGGTTTATGGTTAAAAGGAGACAATATTGAATTTGGTGGGGAATTGTTTTAAAAAATATCTTCTGATAAATAATATGAAAAATTGATTCCAAGGTAATTATTTATAGACTTTCAACCAGATGCAATCAATAAAATTAAAAATAGTGAATATAGAGAGTTATTCCATCCTGATAATTTTATTGTTGATATTATTAGATTGTTCAAAAATTTTTGCAAAAGGATTTTATAAATAATGGAGGAAAAATAATTGAAAAATGCATGGACAGAATAGGAAAGTTTACAATTGATTGCTCTAATCTTTAAGGATTTTTTGTTTTCATTCAGTTGGAGGAGGCACCGGATTAGGATTTGGATCTTTATTATTGGAGTAAATATCAATAAATTATCGAAAAAAACCAGTAATAGGATTTTCTATTTTTCCATCTCGAATTTAATCTTAAAATACTTATGAACCATATAATTATATGTTGACTATGAATTCTTTATTAGAACACAATGATGTATGTTCAACTCTTGATAACTAAGCAATATTTGACATCTGTAGAAGATAATTAGATATTGAAAAGCGTAAACTTGTCCCATATTTACCAAACAACTTTTTGTTGTGCTCTTATGCAACATTTATAACTATTGATAAGTCTAAAGTAGTATACTTCACACTGCAGAACTCTCAAATGCAATCTTTGAGCCAAGTAATATGTGAACTCTATGTGATCCTAGATATGGAAAATATATGGCATGCTCTGTATTTTTAGAGGAGATGTAAGTATGATGAGATTGGTGGAGCAACATCTACATTACAATAAAAAAAGACAGTTTAATTTGTAGACTGGTGTCCAAGATCAGTCACATTTTGTCTAAACAAAGTGATTCAATGTATATTTCAATATGGAGAGTTGGGTAAATAAAGAAAGTCAGCTTTCATTATAGCTAATTCCACTTCAATACAATCAGTGTTTTCATAATTAAATAATTAATTTGATGAAATGTTTTCTAAAAAAAATGTTTGTCGATTAGTATGCTTTAGAAGGAATAGAAGAGGAATAATTTCAATATGTTAGAGAACAACTCAAATCTTTAGAATAAGATTATAAAGAAATTGAAATTGGAGAATAATAATAATAAGAATTATGATGCATATCTTTTTTATTTATGTTTTCGTTCAACGAGACTTCTGCATTTCTAGTTAAATTTCTAGAGATTTCTAATAAATAATATAGAGTCTCTATTAAAACATATTATTCAATTTATCTTAATTTTCGAATCTATCTTCTTAAATTCTTCTCTTAGCTTCTCGTATTACAATTCAGTTATTATTGTGAAAAGTTTGAGTATGGATTTAACAGCCATAAAGTTTTTGGTAAGTATAATATATTTCCAGATAGTAGGGGAAAATAAAAATTTTTTTCAACTTAATCTCTCTTAACAGATCTGTCGAGATCAAATCTCATAATAACTATAGCTTTGTTTCCTTTTAACATCTGGCAGTCATCCAAATCAGTATTTGAACATACTCATTTCTCTATATTATTTTTTAATATAAATTGTTTTTAATTATAGGGTAAAATCCTCATTGTTACTAATAAATATGTTGTTAATTATATGTATAACAACCTTATTCAACTTAACTCAAATTTGCTTATAAATTAATGAGCTAAACAAGTAATAAAGTTGTAAATATTTCGAAAATCCTTATAGTTAATACCAATTGCAAAATCACCTTATGAAAAATTAATAATAGCTTCTAGCTAAAAAATTATAATTTCTTAATCTACCACAAAGTAAAATACATATGTCTCAACAATCCTTTTTATTATTAATTTGATTTTTGACAAACTCATTTAGTTAAAATGTTAGATACTATTTATAGATTTTTTAATAATAATTTTAATAGAATTATAATGAAAATTAAAATGTCAAATATTAAAAATTGAGAAACAAAATGTCAAATATTAAAAATTGAGAAACATTTAGTTGTATTTTATTATTTGCTTTAGTCATTCTAAATAATCCATTTTAATATATTAGTAATGTTAAATCAGAATTATCATCATCAAAAATAGATGAGTTCTCTTAATTGGTTAATCCAAGTTTTAATGAGATATGCTTAAAGAGAGTTAACACTATTAATCAATTAAAAAATCAAAGATCAACTTGAAAATTAATAATTGTCAAATTAATAAGTTATTTAAGATGATTCCACTTTATATTCGAATATTGTAAGGGCTTTTGTTTTTAATAGAAGTGTTGCAGCTGGAAGTTTGAATCAAATATCAATTCAAAGAAAGAATGTAATAGAAAATTAAAGTGTTATTAGATAGAAATTAATTAAATTAAATCCTCTGAAAAAAAATCAAAGAATTGACATATGGAAGTTACGATAAAACAATTTTAATTTGGTCAATTATTAATATTAATAATTAATGGGTTAGTTTATAAAAATTAAAGGAAATAACAATGGTATTTATTGCTTAATTGTGGATAATAATGAAGATCTGATAATATCAGGCAGCTGAATGGAACTGTCTAATTAAATTAGGTAGTTGGTTGTGGAAAAGATAATTTCATATTCATAATAGAATAGAAATTGAAGTGTAATATCAAAAATTAATGTTGATTGATGTTATGGAAATTGATTATACTTTATAAAGGATAATCTATTTTAATTTAAATCAAGAAAATGCAATTTGATGTATTCTATGGAATAAATAACATAGGTAAATAATAAACTAAAGTTAAAGATTTTATTAAGGGAATAACATTCATATATATTGTATTAAATCAAAATAATTATTAGCGATTAGGTTCAATAAATAAAACAATTTAATAATAAAAATATAGAATGCAAAACTTGAATAAGCTATTTAAATTATTATTGCGGAATATTGAGGGGCAGAGTCCAATTTGTTGTTTGATAATAATATATTAAGCTTTAATAAATAAAAATTTAACATTTTTTTACTGATTAACCCAGATAGGGTTGTGTTGAATTGATTTATGGATTGAACCATGTAAATTCAGTGAATTCACACCTATGTTTCTATTTAAAAATTACTTTAAACTATTCCAAACTATTTCAATATGGTTGAGTATTGAGTGGAAGAAATTGAATTCTCACTGCCCAAAATGATTGGATTATTTTACTTTTATGCAAACAACTATTAAAATATGATACTTAATTATTGGCTTTCAAAATTTCAAATAATTCTAATAGATTATGAATTGGCAATCCCTTTTACAACTTGATAAGCTAAACAGTCTTTTATTCCTAATTTTCTAAAATTCTTATGCTTTGCTTTACATTCGCTTTTCGATATTTGCAAATTTTTATTTTATCCTTAATTACCCTCATTTCATCAACTCACTTTAATGATTTAGAGAATTTTAAGTATCCAATAGATTCAATTAATGATATATTTATTTTTTCATCATAGAAAGTCCTTTGATTTTTCAATTATGAGGAAGTAAAAAAGTCAAAATAATATCCATCAACATCTTAAGCTCTAAATTTATTCCAATATTTACGTTTCTAGCATTTTAGAAACAATTTCCCTTCTCGTCTGTTTAATAAGACTTTACTTTACTTATGTATTTGCATTTCTTATTTATATATTAATTTTTCTTTGATTCAAGAAACTTAGGCTAATATGAAGTATTATAAACTTAAATGATTTTCTTAAGAAATAAGTAAATGTTCTGTCTTATTATTACATACCTAAATTATGTTAGAGGAAAATTTTCAAGGATATTTATTTAAAATAATAAATATTATACTGAAAGCAATGCATAAAATGAGTCAAGGTTACTCTTAAATTTATTTGCATAAACAAAATTTTGTTTAGTAAGAATTCTGTGAAGAGATTGTCTTAATCATAAAATGCCAGAGACAGATGAATCATCAATTTATAGTGATCATCAATAAGCCTCAAAAGATCTAGCAATACTTTATTAAAGAAAGATTTTGAAACTATCTAAAATAGAAATTACAAGTAAGTTTCTTAAATATTTAGTACCTGTTGATCCTATTTAAGACAAGGCTCAATCAATTCTGGCTAAGCTTAGTCAAAAAGAAAAAAATTCTATAGAAGAAACAAATAAATTAGTAGTTTATCTGCTAAACTTTATGTATAAAAATTCATTCAAGAGAATTTAAGATTGGTTGTAAAAGGTAAAGACAGTCTAAAGCCATAATAAATATTGATTATATATAAAGCCTTATGGTTTTTTTATCAAGAAAAATAGCAAATGCCATTTAAAAAGGAAAAAAAGATATAATTTTAAAGGAAATGGACCTAAGGACCATTCTTGAAGAGTTACGAAATTTAATTTTAAAATTTATTAGATAACTACCCATTTGATAGTAGCTGTATATTTTCTTTAAGGTCCTTTAGGAATAATTGCTGAAAATAAATTACTGATAAAAATTAATCAGATTCCTCAACTCAAAAGGCTGCTCTATAACATGAAATAAATTCTTAGTCTTAGGGATCTAATATAAATTGAATATCTCTTATGGGCTTTCAAAAAGGAAAACATTTATCGAAAAAAACGAGCTTTTCATTTAAGGATTATAATCAGAGAAGGAGCTAAAATGAAAGCTCTAAGTATTTAGAAATCAAATATCAGAGTTGAACAAAGAAAATAATTCTAAGTTTTTTCTAAAATATTCTGATGATGAGTTATTAGACTAACTCTCAATTTATTCAATTATTTCAATTAGATCTGACAAATAATATTAGATGGATGATAAGTAAAATATTGATCATTGGGATGAAGTCAAAGTTATTCCAAAAGAAATTGAAAAATAGAAGTCATGTGAAAGGATAAAAATAAATTTTTTCTTAAATCTAAAAGCCAAAATTTAGATCATTTTTGAAAGATAATATTCTTGGTTATAATTTGATCAAAATTGATTTGATTATTATAGGATTCATTAAATAAACTTAAATATTTTCAAATAGATTAAATTATATTGAATTAGTTTAGTTTCATGTGAAAATAATAAATATATATTATCATTTGATAAAGAATGAATAAAATTAAGAGAAGTATTTAGATGTTGTTATATTTTACAGGAGAAATCCCAACTATAAAAAAGTAAACTCGTGTAAATATTTGAGATCTTATACTCATAAAGCCTAGATTTGTTTAAAATACTTAATAAAATGAAATAAAATATTTTATTAAGCATATGTTTAAATCACAAAAAATGCTAAAGTATATAGCTTTTTGATAATCTAGATAAAAAATTTTTGATATATGAAATAGATGCTAAATGATCTTAATTTTTATATATTATTTTATCTTTCTTATTTGATACTCTAGATCTTTCTTTTATTAATTCTTACAATCATTTAAAATGGTTCAAATTAAACTATTTAAGCTAAGCATATTTAAATTAAAGAGAGGATAAATTAGGCTCAAATCTATTTTTGTCTTAGAACAAATTTATTAAATGAGGAATGATCAACTCAAATTGCTCTCTTTTAAAATTAATCCTTGTTGATCAAATTGAATTATTATGAATCTAATAACAAAACTATGAACTATATAATAAGCACAATTATTCTGTTCGAGAAAATATACTACTTTTTTTGGCATTTGTTTAATCTGAAAACTGGTAACTTGTAGGATTATCTTATCAAAATAGACTTTTTTTATCAAATAACTAGTATGTTGTAGGTTTTTAAATCAATATTATGTTAGTTAATAAAGAAATTGAATTAAATCAAAAATTATTCTAATATATTGTAATATTAATTTTAATAGAAATAGAGAATGCAGATTACATAAAAATAAACTGATCATCTAAATCAATTAACAATATGGTAATGAATTGATATTACATACCATAAACTTAAGATCATAACATCATTTTTGCTTGACTCTATTGCAAAAATATCAACCTATTTAGATCCTTTAGATAAATAGATTTACAAGAATTCTTTAGGGTTCATAATGTTTAAAAGAACTCTTAAGAGTACAAAGTTGCCCTTGATAGTCTAATAAATTAGTTACTTACTTATTCTAATTTTTATATTAATTAGATTTCTGACAGGACTATAAAAAATTATTTAGAAATAAACAAAGATTATTTATCAAGCATAAAAATTTGATAAATTTTGGGTTCTAAAAATTATATATATATTCCTAATATTAAATGAAATTATCATTATTTTATTGTATAATCTTTAAAATTTACTTAAAATCCTTGTAAATGGTTAAAATAATATTTTCTTTCTTATTCAATCTTCTCCTTTTGTTTCTTTTACAAATAATTTTCATATATTTTCATAATTTATTATAATAGGTCTATTAATAAATTAGAAGCCAAAATAGTACAAAACATACCAATATGGATCCACCCAACCATTATATCAATTTATTAACTTAATTCAAAACTATAACATAAAAATGACCCGGTTATTATTAAAAATAACAATTCTCGGCATATTAATTTTGAAAGTTCAAAAACTGATTTCAAGGGCTTGAATTTAATCAAATATATTAAAAATAAGAATGATTGCATTGATAGTAAAATAGATTATGCTTCTGGATAGTTGATTAATTTTACAATAATTAAAATATAAAGTAAGACTTTGTAAATTTAAAAAGGCTTAAATTATAAGGCCCAAAATGATGCTTAAGATTCAAAATAAAAGTACTTCCATCTCCTTTCGTTTTTTATTTTAGATGAAGTAATTGAAAGTAATGGAAAAGTAGCTATTAAAATAAACAATAATCCAATAATAGCATTGATACTGTTGAAAATTTCAAATGGAGAATCAAAATTATAATTTGGAAATTATAAAACTGCACTGAACATAAATTAATGTAGTATTGCTTAATATACTTTAAAAATTCCTAAAGAAAAATATTCAATTTTTTAAATTAAGCATTTCTTTTGAATTTATTTTTGAAATAAAT